ATTTTTGTCATAAAAGAGAAATGTATAATTGTGACCCATACAATGTATTGTTGGCTATTGCTACAAATATCCCCCAGCGACTCAACACTGCTTTTGTGCTGCAGAGTCACACATGATACAGCAGGCTTTACAGGGTTAAAATACAAATCAAGTGTCTGTATCCGCAGGATCTTTTCTGTGTGTAGAAATAACCCCCTCTGAGAGCCTTATATCGGTCCATTCAGTTCTCTCACACTGCATCGCTCGCAGCAGATGAAGGACAGACTGACTGACAGTCACAGCATGCAGTCGCTCAGTCTGTCCACTAGGTGTCAGAGAGGAGGCTGCTGATCATTCAGCTGACACGGACACACACAACTGTAATGTCTATGATGTCTGATTATATTTCCTGCTTAGATTTGATCCGTCCTTCAGCTCAGTGTAGTGCTCGGTGTTTGTGTAACTCCTCTCACCTCAGTGTTTTTCTCCTGTTTGTCAGAGGCTCTCTCGCGGTCGTACGCCATCTTCTTCAGTAGTTTTTTAACGGCTCGGTCTCGGTTCATCTTCCGCTGGTTCTCCGTGTTGTGTTTGCGCACCTGATTCAGGACGAACTTGGGAATCTGAGACACAAGAAAAGACTCATTTGAGCATCTCGATCGTCACATACGATGAGCCATGCTAGTCCGGCAACTCTTCTCTATATATTTCTACAGCATCACAGCAGTGATTTCACAGAAAACAAACTAACTGAAGTATTAAAAAATAATGATTTTATTAATCAAGGATGCATTATATTGATCAGAAGTGATAGTAAATACATTTATAATGTTGCAAAAGATTTCAAATAAATGTTGTTCTTTTGAACTTTCTATTCATCAAAGAATCCTGAAAAATAAAATGCATCACAGTTTCCACAAAAATAACATTGATAATAATCAGAAATGTTTCTTGAGCAGCAGATCAGCATCTTAGAATGATTTCTGAAGATCATGTGACACTGAAGACTGGAGGAATGATGCTGAAAATACAGCTGCGCATCACAGAAATACATTACAGTTTAACAGAGACTCACAAAGAAAACAGCTGTTTTAAACCGTAATAATATTTCACAATATTTATTGTATTTATGATCAAATAAATGCAGCCAATCCCAAACTTTTAAAGAGTATTGCAGCTTTCTGTTGATCTGTAGTGCACCATCAGATATGAGATTCTGTTTTTAAAGAGGTCATCGGATGCCCATTTCCCACAAGTTGATATGATTCTTTAGGGTCTTAATGAAAAGTCTGTAACATAGTTTGGTTTAAATTTCTCAATGGTAGCGTAAACAACACCTTTTTTACCCGGTCATAAACAGCTCTTTCCAGATCAAGCCGTTTTTGTCATTTTCCTTTAAATGTTAATGAGCTCTGCTGACTCCGCCCCTCTCTTCCGAGCCGCTCTCAGTGAGACTGTTTACTTTAGCCGCATTCATCGTGAAACTAGCCAATTAGCACATTATTAGGAAAGGCCATTTGCAAAGATTCATTACAAAACATTACACTCACTTCTTCTGTAGATGAGGCTGGATCACGAATGATTTGTGCGAACAGACGCATTTATGTAGATCGGGGGCGCAAACAATGTAATCCACTGCGTCTTCAGCCGCTCAGATGTCGGGTGTAAATGACGACTGCTGTTCATTATTACATCCAACAACAGAACACCTCAATCACTCAGGAGTCATTCTGGTCTACATCTGCTCCAGCGGAGAAACAATGGCGGACTGATGACAGTCACTCAGGGGCGGAGCTAAGGTAAGACGCCAGTCCAAGTCTGTGCTGAAACACTACTGTCAATCAAACTATAGTGGGAGGGGCTTGTCTGTGTGACGTCACTCAGGGCGGAG